TTCCCTGTCTATTACTTGTGGTAGCAAAGGTTGGGAGTGGCTTCATGCCAGTAAGGTAGGAGGCTGTTCCTTTGATAGTAGTGGACTATTAGCCTTTCATAAACTAGTCCTGTGCATGGCTGTGTGTGCAGTGGGTCTGTGGGAGGCATTTGGCCCTTTGCCTAATTTCTTCTCTAATAAAAACTACATATTTTCTTTTTCACTTCCTCCGGAATAGCCCAGCATAAGTAAATTATGTGATAGATCTATGATCTCCCCTCATTTGGAGGGGAGAAGGAAGGAAAAATAGATGGAAAACTGTGGCCATTTTCAGAGGCCTTTAATGATCTGTGTTCTGCATAGATTATGCACAAAAACATCTTCTCTGTTTAAGTCTCAACATTACCGCTGTTACCGCAAAGTTGTAATTTACACTAACAAATGTTTACAAGCAAGACTGCAATCAATTAATTAAAAACCAGTACAACAACTGGAGTGTCCCCAGCTTCTGCTTGATGTTGAGCTCTATCTGCTTGGCTCCCAATCAAATTGCCAAAGGTTTCCAACCTCCCTGCTGAAACACCAGAGATTAGAAGAGTGATGTTCACTGCTTTGCTGCAGCACCAGCACTGCTGTAGCTATTCTGGTATGAAGTTGTGCATGTAACATTTTGGAGAAGGATGCTGGCTGCCCTTTTCATCACTAATTTTGGAGAAGGGAGTTGTCTGCCTCTTTCTTCTCTACTGCCTTTTAAACACTCCATCACTTTCAGTAGATTCCCACCCTTTAATGAGTCTGAACACAGGGAACATGTTTCTTGTGGATACACAGACATGAATAAGACAAAGCATCTTTCTGAACACTCCATTGCTTGCCCTTTGAAAGGGTCATTTGTTTGCTGCTTTGCACTGGGCCCAACCAGCAGCAGGAGGTTGGTTAAGTGATGAGAGCAGGGCATAAGTGGTCCCTATCCAGTGAAAAGCAGTCAATCTAATTGACTGCTTTTGTCTTTTCTTTTTTTTTCCCCTTTTTTTTCCTGTGGTAGATTATTTCTTGAGCTTCCACAACTAATGGAAATCTTTTGGAAAGCAGAAACTCCCAAAGCTGTGTGACAGTGCAAGTGCCAGTCTGGTGCCAGCTTTGCTAAGACACATGAGCTCTGCTCTGATAAACAGTAACTTGTTTTCCATGAGGGAGGCTTGTGACAGGTCAAACCATGATGATCAAACCATGTTCTTATGATACTACAGCCTTAGAAAGAATTATAATAGTGACTCATGGAAAGGCTTTTATTCATAAAGCTCCTTGACTATGCTACATTGTAAAGAGGCTGTACAAGGCGAATGTGGTCAGCTCCTTTTACAAAGGAAGTCCTTGTTCTCTGAAATCTAAACTAGCAAAAAGGCACAACGAATGATACAATCTTATATTAAATACTTATTCCCATAAAGCACACAGTGATGCCATTAGCACTAACTTTGATGAATATGTTAAGGGAAGAAAAGAGGAATATTCTCTCTATTCACTTGGTCTTCTGATATTGGCAGAAGTGTTGGGAGTTGCTCTGGGAAGAGTTATTCATGTAAGAGCCATCTCCACTTTGTGAAATGGCTGTCCTGTTTCAGCGTTTATGGAAGTCTGCTGGAAATGTGTGGAGATTTTTTGCTTTCACTATGACAGCTTCAAGAAAATCGAGCCCTCTCATCCTGTTTTACTGGCATGATCTGAGGAGCCACGAATACTCCATGTCCAGTGTCCACTCTTCCTCATTGACATGTTGCAAGAAGAGTCACCTGGCATCTGTAGCTGGTCAGAGCAGAATTTGCCCCTAAGTCTGAGTCTGGCTAAATAGCTGCTCTTGCTGTCAGTTAGTGCCCTGCTCTTAGTTTGGAGCTCATGAGCAAATGGAGAGGTCCTGGGAGTGAGTGGGGATGAGAGTGTTATGCATGATCCCTGCAGTGGTGAAGAAGGGTTTGGCACTCTTTGGAGGTGTCTGGGGCCACAATTTTTCTGCCAGAAGTTACAAGAGGAAATCTTGTTTTCACACATAGAACTTGAACTACTCAAAAGTCATTCATAGTCTCAGAGGCAGATGAAGTGGCAGCACCCTGGGCTAAACCTGCTCCTGTGTCACTGCAAGGACTGCAGGGCTGCAAGAATGACATTTGAAGCCTTTTGTTAACAGGCATGTGAGCTGTATGTGTTGATTTTGGGAAATCCAGTGGCATGATGATACATGATGGCAGCTGTTGTCTCAGGAAACCAGCTTTACCTGGTCACACTTTCTACCTGCTGGTTCCCCTTTGGCCAACCTGAGTTAAGTGCAAGTGAAACAGGTGTTGGAGGTCATGTTCCCCACAAAACTTATGAAAATAGGCCTAAAAGATAGGTGCTTCTAATAGGCTGTCTCAACCCTTAGGAGACATCAGAGTTCCTCTGGGAGTTATATCCTTTGGGTGCAGTGGGAACTCAGCCTCCTCCATGCAGAGCTGCTGTGTTTTGTCTCATCACTTAACCTAATAGCTTTGGATACCATAAAATCTTGAGTATGTGCTTTTCTTCCTGAACTTTTCTTCTTTTTATTTTTTTTAATCTTCTGAGAATGTGATAAGTTTTGCTTTGTTTTCCTAGGTGCTCAGATAAGCTGTTTTGCACCCAGCTCCTTCTCCTGGAGGCAAGCGGCTTACGTGGACTCCTACTGCTGGGCAGCTGTGCAGCAGAAGCAACCATCCCACAACAACTTAGAAAATATACCTCTGTGGCTGCATAAAGTATGTACAGATTTTCTTCTCCTGGAAAAGTTACTCTCACCTAGAAGCCTACCTTTGCCTCACTATTCTTGCTCCTCTGCTCTGCTGTAGTCCTTGGCTTTGAGTTGACTCTCTATTTTTAGAGTCTTTTCTTTCCCTTACTTCCAAGAAGGGTTGTACTACAGAAGATATTTTCTGGTTTTAAATAACGGCTCACCAGTTGTCTGACACAAGAGTAATGTTAATGTTTCTGTGTTGCTCTGGAGCTGAATTCTTCACTTGGCTTTAGCCAGGAACTATTTTAAAACCAAGATGCAAGACTCAACAACTGCCCTAATGCTTGGATCAGAAGCTTATTTTAGGAAAACAGGGTAGTAAAAACATTTTGTGTTTTCATTGTGTTACACTTGGCTAATTATGCATGAAGAGTCATTTATGGCAGATAAAAATTTGAGAGAAATGAAATTCATCACTGGTAGCTTGGGTTTAACCCTTGTCTTCAGTGTGCTCATGTCTGCAGGCTGTTCCCTTGCAAACCATGAGCTGACTTCCACTGCTTCAGGTAAAGCAGCATCATACTGAATGCATAGAAAGAAGCTTATTTTCTGGGTAAAAAGTGCAAGGTACCAAAATACTGGAGCGGGCTCAAAGCAGTTGTCCAAGCTTTGGCAGAAGTTACAAACTCTGAGTCAATGCCATACCAATGCCTGGAGCTGACTCAACTTGAGAGGCAGCATCGCCTTGCTAGGGCAGTGCTGATGCCAAAGTAGGAAATGCTGTTGGGGCTCTGCAAATTTGTGTGCTGCCTTTCCCAGCCTTTTTATTACGTGCCCCAGCAAATAAATTCCTGGCATCTGGGAGCGGAGATGATCTAACCTGGTATTAGAGGGAGCTTAGGTCTGGGACCTGCAGCACCTGTATTTCTGGGTTTTGCTGGTGTATCCCAAACCTCAGCTCTTATTATCCAGTCATCTGGTGGTATGTCCTCTTAGAAACTATTCAAGGCTGTCTCTGATTCATTTGCTGACTCAAATCACTAAGTAAGGATTTACTGCTGCTTTCTTCAGTTAACTCCACTCACAACCTTGACCCAACAGTCTTGTGTTTCATGGATGTTAAACCTAGACTTGTTTTCTAGCCTGAAATCTTCCTTGCCTTGTTAGGGCTCCATGCCAGTCAGACCTTCTACAGAGGCCAGTCAAAGCTGCTGGGCCATCTTACAATGCAAGTGTCTCGCATGGCTGGAAACTCCACCTGTAAACCTGGATATGTTGCTGTCCCTTTCTCTTGAGGGAATGAGTTTTTATTACCCAGTTTTCTTGTGTTGAATTTTGTCATGGTCACCTGCTGATAGCTCTAAGTCTTCTAGTTTTCCAGCCATGATGAATAGCTTAATCAGTCATACCTTTATGATGCAACCCATGCTAATTTGCTGACTAGTGCTGTCTCAGGAATTGTTGCAGTTCCTCCATAACAGCTTAATAGTATGTGATGTTTCCTTGTAAATACCCTGCAGACTGGCTGTAGGACATATGTCTGAACAGCTGAGTCAGAGGCTGTTCACTTCATCTTAACCTCCTAGATCCATGATTAGCCACCCACCCATCTGATCCAAGCATTTGGAGCTGCAGATGCTGTTTGGAGGGCAGTATTAATTAATATTTTTCTAGTGGTTGTTCATCAGCTTTCATACATTACAAGTCTAGAGGGAAGGAGTGGTTACAGCTACAAACAGTGAACTTTGGTTCCCACTCTGGTATCTGAAGGTGTCTGGCTGTTCTTTGCACCCAGGGCCAACAGCTGCTGGGTGCATTGGGATCACTTCTGCAGGAAAATAGGGCTTGGGTTGTCTGCCCAGCCTGGTGCTGCAAGGTGCGTACAAGCTCATTGCTCTGCAGGTTCTGGCTAGGTAATAATTTTAAAAATGGGCACAGCAGAGTCTTTGTGGGAACATACTGATGTTAATGAAAAAAGGGAGTCTTCTTGTGCTCAGATCAGAGGAGACCTGACTCTTTAGTGCAAGGGCAGAGATGGGACAGCAGGGATCATTAGACCCAGTTGTTCTTAAGGCAACACTTAAAACTTTTTTTCTGCTTTCTAGGCAGCAGAACTTTTATTTGCAGAGCATCTCAGGTTCTTTCCAATACTCTGACTCCGTATCTCACTGTATTGGCATGCTGAAAGGCTCCATTAAAAGTGCTTAAGGAGGCATTATTGCAGTTTTGGGGAAATGAGGTAGTAGGCCCCTATTCCTGATTAAAATGGATGGATTTCCTTAAGACATGCTCTCTGTGCTCTGTTGGAAGTGCTGTCAAACGTTTGCCTCCTAGGACAGCGCTCAGTGTGATACAGAGAGGAAGTAGGACTGTGTAGCTCTTTGATGAAGAAACTAACTTCTGACAATCTGCCCTGCTTTTTTTTTGTAGGCATCTGGTTGCTCTGAGTTATCAAACCAGGTTGCACTACAGAGAAGCTGAAAACTTCCCATTTCCTTCCTATTTCAGACTACAAGTTTGTGCTGGATTTTTTGGGGTTTTTACCAGTAAAATGCATGTTTCAGTTCTGGGCAATCCCCACCTTTACCAGTTGTCCTTTCTGCTCAGGGAGATCTCTCCCAACAGTTGAATTTATCAGTTTGGAAATTTGTTTTGGAGTAAAGAGGAGGAGCATACTGTGACTTTCTGGGTTCCTTGAGTCTCTAATGGTCTGTGCACTCCTAGAGGGTACCCAGGACCTCTCTCCATGGAGAACCAGAGCTCTGAAATTTCCAGTGATCCTAGAATGACTCCTCACACTGGATAACCCTCAGCAGAAAGCAAAATGAGTTGTGTACTTAAATGCACAATTCAATAAACAAAATATCTGCAGATAGATAAATTGAATTTATCTTTATTGTTACTGTAACACTAATGTTTTCTTCTCTTTGTCCATGAAAGAGCTGTCAAAATAATTATATGGTTGAGTCCTTTGACAAGACTCTTCTTCAGGTTTGTCATTGGAGGAGTGATGTATTTCCTCCCCCTGTGCAGATAGTTTGCTTATTGTTTCTAAAGGTAAGTGCTCCTCCTGACAGCTAATTTTGGTAAAACTCGTCTTGATCCTTAACTGGAATAGAGACAAGCTTTTGGCCGCTGTATGTGGAGTCCTTGCAGTCTAGTGGAGGAGGAGACTGCACTGTGCAGCCTTTTTAATCCATAGTGCACAGAGAAGTTTATGAAAACTCGTGCAGAACAACAGTCGACATAATCTTACTGGCTCTTGAGAGCCACCAGACACAGCTGAACAGTGAGCAATGGCCTCTTTCTAGCCCTGAGATCTGGATTGCTAGGATGGAGCTGCTTGTGATGAAGAGACTTCTAGGGACTTTTTTAAATTACTGTGCCTTCTAGTCTATTATTAATTGGGGAGAAACAAAGAGAAAGATAAAGGGAAGTAAAGTAGAGATAAAGGGAGTAGATGGTTCTTTGGAAGAAGAGGATTCATACTGGCATGAAGTGCAGGCAAACAGTTCATCTGGCTGACAGCAGAAAGAAGAGATCTTGACTGTTAGAGAAACCTGTTAGTTGAGTCATGAGGTTCAGAGAGGACCCTCTTGTGTCCTAAACTCCTTTTCAGGGGGGAGTTCAGGTGCATCTGGATTCAGATTTAGTCCCAGACTTGGTCAGTGGTTTATGTCTAAAGGATTATATGTGCCCAGTCAGTCCTTTGTATCACTTAGCTAAGATTTCAAGGTTTAGCATGCTATTAATGACTTACTGACAATCTCTTACAGTAAGGAATCTCTCAACTTTGAGGAGTAACTGTGAGGTGTCCCTACTCAAGGGGAGATTCTGGCCTGCAGCCTTCTGCCATGCAGGAAAGCTCAATGGGTCCTGAGCTGCCCAATGTTTATAGAGTACAATGATTGGCTTAAATCCATATTTGTATACTAGCAAGAGGTCTGGGTCGCTGTTCGAGACAGTCATTAACTGCAAAAGTGCTGTCTGTCCTCCAAAGCCCAGAATAAGCTGGATGCATCATGGCCTCCACTGGTGATCATGGTTTGAGCTAATTGAAACTGGAGAAATAGTGGTTTTAGCTAGATCAAAACAGAAAGTATGTAACAGGTGGGATAACAAGGGTCACGTACAGTTTGAGATTCACTTGCAGATTTGAGGGCAGGATACGATTTCAGCCAGAATGATGAGTCACTTATAGCTGTTTCTGCTGAGCACCAGTGAGACCTTTCATCAGCTCAAACAGGAATAAGGTTGTATCCAGAGGGAGCTTAATGCCTTTGCTTCTGGTAACATGTAATTGCTGTCTTTAGCTTGTTTGGGGCTGGTGTCTTTGCTTAGACTTCTCCTAGTGACAGATAGAAATTTGGAACTGAATAGGCAGACATCTCACCAATGGGTTCATGTATTTTAATGAGAAATATTTTAATGTTGAATGAAGACACTTCAGTGCTTTCTTTTTTGTTGAATACTGTCTGCCAATTAATTTTATCAAAGCTGTTTTCCAGACCTGTGCAGCTTAACAGCTTTGTGCTATTGTACTTAAAGTTACTGTTTGGCCACTGTCAGGTATTGCCCAGAGAAAATAAGGACTGAAGATGCAGTAAAATTAGAAAACCATTGTTTTCTAAATGCCATTAAAGTGGTTCTTCATCTTTTGCCAACCAACTTTATCCAGACCTTGGCATGGTTTCTACAGATTAGGTCCTTGAAAATGCCTTTTGTGTCACACTACCAATACCAGCTTTATTTTCTTTGGACGATAAAAGCATATTTGAGGTTATAAAGAAGTTATTTAAATGCCCTTTACCTTACTTGCTGTGAATTTACTGCATCTTAGCATAGTTGAAGCTGGCGATGTTATATAAGAGACTATTTTGTGGTTCAGCCTGATGTTATCTTTCACCTTCAGGAGAGTGTGGTGTTAATGTGTTATTAAAAGACAGTTTTTTGATTCCAATGTCTTATGTGCCTATGGAGACAGATTACTCAGACACTTCCATACCCATGTATACATTCTGTTTGAACTGTTAGCTAATTACTAACAAAGTTACTTAAGTGGCCTGTAAGGTGTACAGAGCTCAAAGATTTGTCAAGTGAAATGAATTGCAGCAGTACAGAGCAAGGGGCAGGGACCTCCTGGCTCCTCAGGAGCCTGCTGTCACACCCATCATGCCATCAGACTAAGGGTCAAGCCAGGCAGGAGAACCTGCGTTCATCATCTTTAGCTTTCAGGAGCTCAGCAATACTTAGAAGACATACAGGGGACTGCAGTTTGGCTCCCTGGTGCATTGCACCACTAGCTTTGTCTGTCTTATACTGGTATTAATCACACAGTACTTGGTGCCTAGTGCTTCCAGAATCTTGGATTAGCCTAACTGAAACTCTGCTACTCTGGTTTTGAGTGCCAAACTCAATGGGCTATTATCTGTCCTGTTCTCCTTGCAGCTGGGTGGCAGCGAAGACTCCGAGCATCCAGGCTGAAGAGGTGATGTAGCCTTCAATGCACTTTCACTAATGAAGTTCAGAAGTGAACATTTTGAGCCACAGAGTGTTGTATCTATTCTAATGTATCAGTTGTAATCTGCTTTCGAAGGACCTTTCTTCAGTTATGCAATCTCATACCATCTTACATCCAACATTGGAAACTTGCTGTTGAAAAGGAACTTGCTAAATGTGTAGCAAAGGAAAAACTGAGTTTGACTTTTAGACCACACAGCAAAGGAAAAAACTGATTTTCTTTTAGATAAATATCTTTCTCTGGCATACTTTGACTATACAGTGCTTGAGGTCAGTGACACTTCCCATGTAACTTCAGTACTGCAAACTACCCAAGACTGAAGTAGCATTTCCTCCTTGTGTGTTCGGCGCCTTGGAAGCAAATAAACCATAAAACCATAAGCCATAAACAAGAGGCAGATGGCACGTGATCGTCTGTGCTCAAATACCATGGAGTCCTCTTCTTAAAATGGAAAGTCATTATGTGTTACTATAAAATGTAGTCAGATGAGCTGGATGATCTGAGTCTGCTGCTCTGAAACCTAGGACTCGTGCCAGATGACTTTGCATTTTCACTTCTGCCTGTTGGTTCAAGGCCTTAAATTTGAGTGATTCAGAACAATTTGCTAGTTATCTAAGCCTACTGTTAACGAATAGAACAAGAGAATCTTTCATTTTTAAAAAAGCCAGAATCTGAGAAGGGTGGAGTCGTGTATCAAGTGTTGTGGAAAGGCTGTCAAATACAGGGTTTTGTTTCCAAACAAAAAGAGCTGGACTAATGGTCACATTGCTGCTCTGGGTTTGAGACCATTCAGAAAAGAGCTGCATAGTGTTTTCTCATGCTGCCATAAGCTACAGCTTTGGGAGTGATGAGCGCCTGTTGAGGGGAAGCCCAGCAAACACAGAACAAATGTGCCTTTGCCCCAGCAGTCAGTGTGATGCTTCTAGCTGAGGAGGCAGTGGTGACGGAGCTGGGGAGCTGGGTAGATGTCAGAGGCTGGTTTTCAAAAGACAAGAGTCTAGTGAGGCAGGGGTGATGGCAGGCATTGGGGGACATCTGGGGCAGAGCAAGAGGGCTAATGCCAACGTGCTCCCCAAGTGCAGAATGTGCCCACAGTCTTTTTCAAGGTAAAAAGGAAGGGAATGATACTGGGACAATGGAGGTTTGGGACTGTGACTTCGGTGCATCAACTGTCTTGCCTTTTGCTACATGTCTTGTAGGACTTGGGTTAAAGAGTTCTCCAGGGTACTTCTGGGGGCATTTACAGTTCTGAGAGTCAGAAAAGGAGTTCATAAACCTTCTGATGCCTGTAAAATTTCGAATGAGTGAGTAGTAAAGCCAAGTGATATAAACCAATGTAAGGAGCTTTGGTTGCTCCTTATTGAATTGAACAACTTGTCTTTGTTGTTTCTTTCCCAAGCCTGGTACCAGTGGAAGGGAGCTCAGAGGTGTATGACACAAAAGTAAGTGAAGTCAAACAGGTGTTGCAGCAACCTTATACAAAATGCATTTGTTAAGGCCTATGGAAAATGTAGGAGCTTAGATAAGTTTAAGCCATGTTTGTAGATAGATCATTTCCATTTCTATGTAATATAGAATTCAGAGGACTGACAGAGCCTGGACATGAAACCATAAAGCTTTGGGTAGACTAAGGCATCCAGGACTTAGACCTGTGAGACCTGGTGGCATTGTCCACAGTGATGAATAAGAAGAGCAGATTCTTGTGGTGTTGGGCTTGAGTTGGTGAGATGTCTGTAAAAACAAGTTGGATGTGCCAGGGCTTTACATTTCAGTTGGAAAAGCTAGATCTGAAAAACACCAGATGATCTGAGGTTATCTGCACAGTTTCTACAGGCTGCTGGGACTAGGGGAAGTCAGTTTTTATTTATGAGCTAATATATTATATGCATTCATAGTATCAATAGTAACACAGGATTTTGCTTTAATCGTAGGTAATATTAGAAGTAACTTTCCTGAGTAAAATGTTCAGTAACATCAAATTACTTTTAATCTCTCTTGTTTGAGGCAAACACAAGTTAACATAGTAATATTTGGTCCAGATTCTCATCTTGTTAAATATCTACAAATATAAGTGGAGCTGTTCCACTTGCACTGATTAATGGCTTCAGTCCAAGTTTCCTCTAAAATTCTCCATTAGTTTTTTCAGTGACTGTGCATGTGTGCATGGCTGTAACACTTAAGATATCTTACATCTCTTGCACACTTGTTCACCACAACTGATTTAAAGTTCCTTAGGAACTGGTGCTGGCTTTGAGTTAAGTGTGCTTGCTATCAAAAGCTGAATGTAATGAATTAGAGATTGGCCAGATTTGCAGCATGTTTTGTTAACTAACTGCTTGTTTAACCAGATCTTTCATCATGTCTCTCTAAGGGTAATGTTGCGTATGATTGTACACCTTGAATATAATGTCACAGTAGATAGAAAATATCATAGCTGGAGAGAATTAGAGTTAATACCTCATGATGCAAAACTCCAACTTGTTGATGAGTAGAAGACAGATGGAAAGACTTGAAACTTGTATTTTATCCCTGGCTCAGCCCTTTCCCTAAGCAGTAGGGCCTGTGTAAGGGATGACTTCTCAGTGCTGCATTAACACCAGACCGTTTTGATGCTGTGTGTTGGTTTCCATTTAGGAGCTGTCTGAAAATACTTAGATACCCTAAATGTTACAACCACACTTAGATCCTCTACAGTCACTGAATGTCAGGCACCCTGAAGAGACATGTGTTTCCAGGCAGATGCAGAGCTGTAACGGGTGTATTCATTAGCCTCCTGACAGCTAATGGAAAGCAGGAGAGATTTTGCTGGTGTTTGGAGCATTTTAGTTGCTGTGAACAGTGGTGACAGGTCTGGGAGGGAGGGGTATGTGACACTATCCTCTTCTTTCAGTCAGCCTCTCTGATAGCTGCTTCGGTTTGTTGTTCCCCAGATTAATGCCGTCTTTCTCATGTCAGCTCCAGCAGTGCAGTTCTGCATATACAATGAAAATGTTACCAGGATCATGGCACCGTTATTCTGCTTTAGGGTTTTTTTTGGTTTTTTTTGGTAGGGTGAAGCTCTAAGCAGCAGCAAGTTCACTGAAGCTGTCTGAAAAGAGATTTTGCTTTGCTGCATATTGCCAATAACCACAGAAGTGGGTTTTATTAAGTGGATTAAAATAAAATTAAAGAGAATTTAATAAGCTTATAAGAAACTTAATACTTACAGAGTGTGATGGTGATTGACTTATTTTATATACAGGTGAAGCCTAATGAGGATTTTTTTTTCTCCCTTCAGTTCTTCCCATACATCCTTCTGCTCGTCGCTATCCTGCTGTATCTACCATGTCTGTTCTGGCGCTTCACTGCAGCACCTCACCTTTCCTCAGACCTGAAATTTATTATGGAAGAACTTGACAAAGCCTATAACAGGGCAATCAAAGCTGCCAATAGCATTCACAGCGGAGACCCCAGGGACCCTGCTGACTTTGTTCCAGCAGTTAATGAGAACTTGACACAGAGGTAAGATGTTGGGGCTTGACTTTCTTTGCTCGTTTCCATAAGTTCTTAACAGATGTGACAACAGCACTCTCTTAGAAATTTATTGCAGAGGTTTGAAGACTGACCTGACACACTTTTAAATTAGGTTTTTAGAAAGGAGTTATCTGAAATTATTACTGTAGGCACTTGGAGCTGAAACTTACAACTTTCTTCTTTTGAAGAAAACATTTAATAAGCTCTTTAGACAACAATTTACTTGAGATGTTCTGATTTATTTAGTTGTAGTGGGTGTTAAGTAGTTTTACCCACCACATCATAAGAAAATGGAGATGCTGCAGTCCTTGATGCTCAGTGTTCTTGAGAGCTACTTGCACACTGTCAGCAAAGTCAATTCCTTGTCATCTCCTGTCCTTTAAGATATAGGTCTGCAAAGCTTCTGATCAGAGTAAAAAACCAAATACCAAAACCAACAAAAGCAAACCCTCCACTCTCTGATCACAGATTGGTGCACTGTTCTAAATAGATACAGTTTCTGCTTCCTTCTAGGTCAGGGTACCTGTTCCTCTGTGTATGTGAGTTACCATAATGAGGACTTAGGTCTATTCTTTAAAATGTGGAGTTAGGTCTTGACAAACCTTTCAGTGTTCTGTAATCAAACAAGTACTTGGGCAGTCTGTTTTTCCTCATGGATTTGCTTACTCTACCTACTTTGTATTAGAAAAGAACAGAAGAATTTTTTTGCCACGAGGGCAATACTTTTTTCCATTTTCCAGTGCTTGAGCTCTTTTGTCTCTTAAGTGGGTTTTCTGTATTAGTGTCAATATTCTTCATTTGTCTGCTATTCTGTTGGTTTTTTTACTGACTTCTTCAATAAAACTATACCTGATTTACCCCAATAAGAGGATGTGGACATATTGGAGCAGGTCCAGAGTAGGGTCACGAAGATAGACGCTTAGAGGGCTGCAGCACGTCTCCCGTGGAGACAGACTGAGACAGCTGGGGTTGTTCAGCCTGGAGAAGAGAAGGCTCCAGGGAGACCTCATTTCAGCCATTCAGTACATAAAGGGGCTACAAGAAAGCTGGAGAGAGACTTTTTAGAGGGGCATGTAGTGACAGGACAAGGGGGAATGGCTTTAAACTAATGAGAGTAGGTTTAGATTAGATATTAGGAAGAAATTCTTCCCTGTGAGGATGGTGAGCCACTGGAAGAGGTTACCCAGAGGAGCTGTGGATGCCCCATCCCTGAAAGTATTCAAGGCCAGGTTGAATGGGGCTTTGAACAACCTGGTCTAGTTGAAGGTGTCCTTGCCTGTGGTGTGGAAGGTGGGGTTTGGAAGTAGATGATATTTAAAGATCTCTTCCAACCCAAGCCATTCTGTGATTCTATTATTTTAAGATGGATTCCAATCTATTTTAGAGTAAGGTTTTGTTGCTATTTGAGGTAGCTGAATGCTGCAGCATCTAATCTATGTGGTTTGGTATTTTTTTCTCTCTTTTTCAGTTTGTGGGAAATATCAGAAAGCTACTTTAAATACCCAATTGTGGAACAGTACCTGAAGACAAAGAAGAATTCCAAATGCTTAATAATTAAATACATTACCTGTCGTTTACTCACGCTAGTAATTATTTTCATTGCATGCCTCTACCTGGGCTACTACATTAGCCTCTCCTCTTTGAGTGATGAGTTTCTCTGCACTATCAAAACTGGGATCTTGAAGAATGACACAGCTGTTCCAGAAGTGGTTCAGTGCAAGCTCATTGCTGTTGGTGTCTTCAAAGTACTCAGCTATATTAACCTGATAGTCTATCTTCTAGTGATGCCACTGGTAGTGTATGCAATGTTTGTTCCGTGGAGGTGGAATTCAGGTATTCTCAAAGTGTATGAAATCCTGCCAACTTTCGATGTTCTGAAACTCAAGTCTAATCGATTTGATGACTTAAGCCTTTACCTCCTCTTTCTTGAAGAAAATGTCAGTGAACTTAAATCATTTAAATGCCTCAAAGTGCTGGAGAACATTGCAGTTTCTGAGAAGTTTGATGTCATGCAGCTTTTGGTAAACCTTGGCACTATTAAGACTGATACCATAGATGGGAGGCCAGGGACAACTGAGTTGGAGAAGCCTGAAGAAACAACTACAGGAGAGCTGGAAAAAAATGCAGCAGAACTACAAGGTAAGCTGATCTGCTGTTTCTTTAGATAGAAAGAGTCAAAGACCGAAACACCACAAAACCACCACATTCAGACTTGCTGATGTAGAGAGATAAGGAATCCATTAAACCAAAAATTCATTCATGCAAAATAAAACAGGTTTCATCTAGATGTGTATTCCTACCAAAAACATTTTAATATATTCTACAAAACAGTGGACCTGCTTAGTCCTCCCTATGTTGCCTGCAGTATAACTGCTATAACCTCACATCTGTGCCAGGAGATTGTGGTGTTGCAAGTCAGTGACACAGTTTAGACCCTGAAGTGTCTGTTAAATTAGTGGTCCTTGCTGATATCTCTGCACTAGCACAAATAGGTTTCAGCAGTCTGAACTTGAACTCCTTAAGACCCTCTGCATAGTAGGTTGTGCTTGAAGAAGCTCCAGTGAGAAAGCTGATGGTTTCAGGACTTTTTCACAGAAATTAGCTCCAAAACATAATAACTGCTACTTCTGCTTTTCATTGAGGCTTTGGCAGAAGTCTTAGGTGAATATAAAATTAAGACTGATGCTCAGAAATGCCGCTGGCGGAGGAACAGAAAATGACAAAAGAAGGGAAGTGGGACTGGGGCCAGTGAACATACTTCTGTCTTACACAGAGAGTGAGGAGGATTGGCTGCAAAGTGATTTTTGCCGAAAGGGTCTCAGTCAGTCTGGATTGGTGCAACGGTTCTCTGAATATCCCACCATTTTGCAGACATGATCAGCTCTGAGCAATCACTCTCACATAAGATAGTCTAGGATTCTGTCCTAAAACATCTGGCTTATCATAATTACGATTCCAGTTCCCTCCTCAAGTGCGGAATTCGAGAAGCCAGATATCCAGGGAGGGATATGGGATATCAGGGACAAAAAGATGGAAGGTCTTTCTTCTCATTTGATGCGAGCATAGCTGCTGTCATAGCTGTCCCCACAGAAGCAGGACACTAGTTCTTACACCCCTTGAATCGAGTAGTTTGGGCTTTGTGGGCTGCCTCTTCATGGAGTCCTTCACTCATCAAGGGATATTGCTTTAAAACATTTAGCAGCTGACCTGAGTAGGCGAGCACAATGCTGAAGGCAAGTTAAAGAGCTGTTTCAAAGGCAGGAAAAGATTAAATCTATTTTCTCTTCAGAAAACTATGCCCTGTACTTAACGAAAAAGAAGCAGCAGCACCCAGAGGACAACGAATCCTCTGTACTTGGGTCAAACAGTTCTGGTAAGGCTGAGATTTGGAGGAGAAGTCGATTTATACAAGGGGAGTATTCAGAACAAGCAAGCAGAATTACTTTTGAGCCAGAACAAGTGCTTCTGGCAGCCAGGTCTAGTACAGCAGTTTGGAGCAATTCTGACAGAATATAGTTTTTCTCTTAAATGTGTCCCTGTTTGAAATGACAGATGGGTGGGTTTTGGCAGGAGAATGTAACAACCCAAGTTGAGGTCTCTGCTCAAGGAACTGAAGAAGTTAATAGAAAAGCTGACTCATTTTTATCTGAGAGCAGAACTTTGGAGACTCTTTTCATCTCACAAAAACACTTCAAAGACTTGTTTTTGTCCTGAACAGAACAAACTCATGCTTGAAGCTGTTTTAAAATGCATTGCAGAAAGAAGCTGCCGTTTCATGACCAGCTCAGGCTGGTGCAGCCCTATCCTGCCTGGAGGCAGCTGCAGGCTTCACCACCCATCAGCAAAGCTTCCTCCACGGCACTTCATCTTCTGGCCCTAGTGGCATCAGCATGTTTTAATTGGTAACCATGTTAACACACCAGTGGTAGATACTGACTCCTGGCAAGAGATGTGCAGGGCATCCTGCTGCTGGGTGCCTCATCCAGACTGTGCAGGGGCAGCTGGAGGCAGCACAGGACAGTGAGCGGTGCAGCACAGGCTTGGTGGCAGTTCCTTTGCACACCAGAAGATGCTGAGTGGTTTGATGGCCCTTTCACTTCTAAAGGTTTGCTTTCTCTTTAGTTTTGACAGAGCCTGATGCAACTGGCAGCGTGAATCCGAGAGAAGACAAAAGACTTCGCCAGAGACTTATAGATTCTTCGTGCTGATGCTTCCCTGCTGCAGCAGGCAGGAGCTCTGTTCTATGGGAAGGCTCCTCCTCTGCCTCTGCTGTGCTCAGCGCAAGGTGCTGCTCTGATTGCAACTGCCTTCACCACCTGACAGGTCCCCAGAGGCCAAGCTGGTTTACAGACTACTTGTTATATAATAGTCAGCAGTCATGTATCTGAACAAGCATGTTGTAGACTTTCCTTATTTATTAAAAAAACAATCAAACCACACACAAGGAGCAACGAGAATAAAAAAATTCTGTCATGAGTAACAAGTGATGTGCATTGAATGCAGTTGAAGCTGGCAGCTGGAAAGAGCTTGCACCATACTGCACAGGGATGGGAATCATAACCCTGCAGGTAACAAAAAGAGATGGCCATTGTTGCACTCTGAAGTGTTGCTCTGCTGGGAGCGACCGTCTCAGTTCGGGAGTTTGAGTTGAGGTACCTTTGGATTCTCTGCCCTGGAAAAGGGGGGAAGTGGTGTGGGTTTTTTAATGAGTCTGGTTAATCTGTACCAGGTGGTGGCTGGACACTGATATTGGCTGTGTCTTTGTGGGAAAAGTAGAGATTGCTCTGTTCATCCTATGATGTCTTGGTTAGTCATCCCAACATTCATGTCTGTGATTAAGTACTTGACATTGGTGGAAAAGAAGCTACAAACAGTTTTAGTATAAGGGAGTAGTGTAAATATTAGGGATTTGTAATTTTATATGTATTAATAAAGTAATAATAACAGGTTTTTTACAAAATTTAATGATATGTAAGCTAAACATTAGTTTAATTTCTATTTTTCAGTCGTTTTAGTGTCTAATGAATCCACTTTGGAGTTTTGGTCTGAAGATCGGTGAAGTTGGTTCCATTTTTCTGATAGTTTGTCAGAGTTGTTTTATAATGTTTTTGTGTGTGGACTTTTTTCCTACATGTTTGTAGCATCAAATGCAGTATTAATTGTGCTGGTTTTTGAACCACACTTGAGAAGACAGACTTGCTTGTTGTATTACAGTAGCACCCAAATGCCTCAGCAGAGCCAAGCACACAATAGCCAAGGTGAGGTAGATGTAAATACGATGAAAGGTTGTTCTCCCCACACATCCTGTGACTGTATTTTAACTAAAGATAACACACTGAAGTGGATTGGAACAGACAAAAGAAGAGGGAGTGTTTGTAAATTGGAAAACTGTCCTGGCTTGTTACTGGACTGTCTGGGGAGAATAGCATTCAGCTTTAATGTCGTCCTCCCTGACCAGGACCATCAGTAAGTATTAAATGACTTTGTCTTGAAATTTTAGATAGAAGGTAAGGTGGCTGGATGGTGTAGCACCACAGTGGCAGTGTGTATCTTTCATAAATGTTATATGCTGACTTGTTTTTCTATATTGTCCATGTAACTGAAATTATTTCAACTCTTCAAGCTGTCTTTTAAAACAAAGTAGGACTTCTTTTATAGCTAGGTAGGACTTATGTTTTCCAGTTCCTCTCTGTCACCCACTGTTATGTTCTCCTCTGCTAGCATTCTCCATATGGCTGTGGATTAGGGGGGAACAGAAGTGGTTGGTGTTACCATCTTTGCACAGAACTGTTTATGGGCTGCTGCAGATTTCAAAGAGAGAGTGCACCTACTTGAATTTGGCAGCTTGAATTTCTGATCCAACAAGTGGATCCTAAAGTGCTACCATACTATACTTTGGGCTAGTATTACAAGAACTCTTCAGTTATTATATGGCTTTTAGCTAAGACAAGCCTTATTTGAAAAGAAGCCTTTAAATCCATAGTATTATGCTACCTCACCACAGGACAGCAACACAGCTGCAATCCTAACATTGGTTGCATTACCAGCAAGAAACAGGGTTTGTGTTGGACACTGGTGGTCCAGACTGCTGGATTTTACTTCCATACTTCTGCCAGCAAGCCTACAACCTCTCTGACCTTTTCTAGAATCTGTCTGGCTGTGCTGCTGTGTTATTCGTGATCCTTTATATGTGGGCAATGCAGGTGCACACTGCATTGTGTGTCTTGGACAAGTAGCTATAGTGCAATACTGAGATTTTGTGACATGGATGTGTTTGTTTGATGTAAGTAGCGTTCTCAGTCTTTAAATTCAAAGCTCCTGAAAGCCACATGTTCATGTTGGATATGTACCTAACTTTTTACTAATTCCCCTTTTGTATTTAAAAATATGTCTTTGCTGCAGTGAATCTCTTGTTGTCTTTTACAGTGCTCAATAAAATACATACCAATTCCTCATGGTTATTAAAATATAATCAATTTTGCTAACTACAGCAGCATGACTGAAGGTTCCAGGAACAGTCACGTGTCTCCACCTGAAGACCTGTAGTGCAATACATGTGATCTCATGCTAAACCCTGAGCAAACATTTTGGACAGTAGTTATAATTCTGCTCCTTTCATTTTTATCCTCATTAAATTGTCAGAGCAACACAACTTGCTTCAAAATCTATGTAACCTTTTAAAACTGTTTAGAAAATGTCAGCATATGATAAATAACCTATCCATTGTGTGAGTTACTATCTAACAATTGGCCACAGACTCAGCATGTATGAGCTTTTCAGCTTTTTCTGTTTTAAGATGTGTTTTTGCTACTGCCCAGCTCAGTTCCACTTGTGTTTTAGTGGCACTGCTTCTGCACGTTTTCAAAAGATGGGCTTGATTCCAATTTAGGTCTTATGGAAAAAGAGGCCATCTTCAGCCTCTTCATCCCTACACTCTTCCTAGAAACAGCTACATTCATCTGTCTTGGTTTTTAGGCAGAAAGTAAAATGGCAATGCTGAGATTCAGGTTTGGTCCATGCCATCCTTTGCTTGACCCTTCTCTCTCCATCACTTGGATATTAATAGTCCTCCAAATGCAGGAGAGTTACAAGTAGGTCCTTTGCATGCTCTTTGCCTTAAAATGGCTCTTAGCTACCTTGTGAGATTTAAAACTTGTGATATAAACTACAGAGAGACAGTAAAAATATTTATTCCAGTAGCAGATGGTGTGCCTCTAAAATCAGCTGTACCCTGCTGTTTTTCCTCCTCTGGATGTTGTTAGCTACTTTTGGAATAAAGAGTGTGTTTTAGGTCCATGGGATTTTTTTTCCCTTACTGGGAGAAGTGGGTGGTGCAAAGTAGGAGCTTTGATGACTAGTGAGCAGAGGATGTCCTGGCTGCAATTAGTGAACAGGAAGACAGAAGTCATTCATTTGGTGTAAATCTTTACTTTTCAATAATTAATGTCATGTTGCTGATACAAACAGTCAAAGTTAAACTATTGTGACCTATTGACTAATTAGTTATCTAACCTTATCGTACCTGTATCAGCTGGACTTCTCTGCAGTGTGCACAGCCCATAGGAAGCCTGTTGTTTGTTATTCTTCACTGAGTTCCCATTAGGAAATGTAATCTGGTTTTATGATGCGGGATACTGGTTTGATTTATAGATCACCTGAAAGGAAAATGGCATTGAAGCTATGCACAGCCCCCACTCTAGCAGGGACAGCTGTAAAGCCAGGAGAGGCAGCTCAGCCCCACTACCTTGCC